AGTGCCACTGCCTCCAAGGCAGGACAGGACAGAGCTAGATGGGCAAATGTTCTGACATGCTCTAAGGCAGCTTCCTATGTTCCTAGCAACACTTTTGCACATCTGTGTTCTATTCTGTGGTTGTTGTTGTTGTTACCTTTCATTCCTTTATAATGTCCCTCCCACTTCGAACAATGAGAAAGAAATGAACTACCCCAGCTCCAGGGTGTAGTTTTCTCACTTGCTTGAGGGCATGTTGGAGGACTAGCAAGTCTATAGGTGCATCTGGTCTATGGTTTCCCCTGGCTCATCCTGGTTCAGCCCAGACACTGAGATCCAGACAGAGGGCCTTCTCGGTAGTGGCACCCACCCTGTGGAATGCTCTCCCTGTCATGTGACAAAGACACATGAGAGCAGAAGCAGCAAAAGCAGGCTGGGAAGTGCTGGGACTGCACAATCATTTGGGCCTACTGAAGTTGTTCAGGCCTAACTGCTAACTGTTGAGTCACTCTGACATGTGACTTAGCGGCCAGTTTCTCTTTGTGCTCTCCACGTAAGATTTCAACGAGAGTCTGTCTGCCTCAGCTGTGAACAGTCAGTATGTAATCTCAGTCAAACAGTTTGGAACCATGTTGTTTATGAAGAAGTTTATTTTAACTCAGTAAAGCTTTTATTCTTTAAAAACTCTGCGTTATTAATTTACGCTGCGTGTCATTCCCATCAGATGTCAAGGAGATAAAGAACTATACAACTTTTAGAATACATCTGAAGGCAGCCTTGCATAGGGATTTTTTTAAATGTTTGATGTTTTATTATGTTTCTGTGTATGCTGGAAGCTGCCCAGAGTGGATGGGGCAACCCAGTCAGATAGGCAGGGTAGTTGTTGTTTTGTTGTTGTTTTATAATCCTGTACACACACCATTTTCAGCCTTAATGACCCCAGAGTTCCAACATCACTAGGGCAAAAGCAGTGGACATTTATGCAGTGGCATAGCTGGGGGATCAAAGATTATATCTCCCACTTCAAGGTTGGACCTCTCTCTGTCCTTGGAGAGGGAGAACTGATATTTCCCAGGGACCATAGGAATGAGTAATTAAATATGATCACTGAACCTGATGAAATTCCTACAACTAAAATGAAACCTATTTTTTAAAGGATTTGCTAACTTTAGCAGACCAGAGCCCGACTTAGCAGACCAGAGCCCGACTTCAGCCGGGTAGGGGGGATATAAATAAAAGTTATTTTTTAATTTTTATTGTATTTATTTATTTTAAACCTGGAATATTGCACGCACACAGATCCATACATAAACAGCTTCAATTGCTATGCTTCTTGAAATTCTACAAGTTCTCGATGAAATGGGCTTGGCATTTGCCTAACATTTGTACAAACCTCTGGTGGTGAGCATTTAAGTATTGTTAAAATACAAACAGTTAAACATGAATGGTTCTAATAATATATGGGAGGAGGATGAAGCCGCTTCAAAGATGTTCTGAAGAAAGTGACAGCTCTTTTCAATGAACTTCATTTATTCTGCTCTACAGATGAGAACTGAAAGCAGATTACTACAATAATTGAATGGGAATGTTTTGTTTTCATATAGGAAATAGAAATATTTATTGGACTTTTCTGGCTTCTTTCCACCACTGCTTTCAGTTTCTCTGTTTATCTCTCAGTTTGCTGTCATATTATTTATTATTGCCGCAATTTTGTTAATCACTAATCTTTTTCTCCTAATCTAGATCAGGAAAGGGTTGGGGTTTTTTTTGTTTTTTGTTTGTTTTGTTTTTTTGAGAAGTGGAGGCTGAAAATGCAAATTCCCATCTTTGAATAAGACAGTCCCAATCTGAGTCTGGTGACACCACCTTTGAGTTTTCCTGATGTGAAGGTATCATTTGCGCCAAGGGATCATAGAGATTTGTATTATTCTTGATTCCAAATATGGGAAGCTACCCACTACAAGGGCAGTGTGGTGCAAGAATGCCTGTATTTCCTTCTCATATTTCCATTTTGTCTCTCAGGGTTCATCTTGTCTATCACTGGCTGCCAAACTGGCAAGGGTTGGCAACCAAGGATAGGGATACAGAACACACCAGAGTAGCCTCCACCCTTCAATGAAATGCAAAAGAGAACATCTCAGTGACATTTTTATAGAGGGCAGTCCATTATTTGAAGGACTGTCAGAGGATAGTTCTCTATTTGATGGCGTTCTTTAGTTGAATGTCTCTCTGGTCCAAGTCCAGTTAAAGCAAAAGAACCATAAGAAAGGAGAGCAGGGTCTATGGAGAAGCCCATCAAAAGTTAGCACCTAAATAGATAGATCACCTGGTCACAGTCTTCCCCACTATGCAGAGATGAAGTGTATTTCTATTTAAATTATGGTAAATTATTTCTAATTTTTCATCCGATATCTGAATTTTAGGCCTCTTTGTCCTCTTATTTGGTGTCATCTTGCACCACTCTATGGTGTTCTTCCACCTAGCACCAGACATGGCACATGCGTTGGACCAGTTCCATACTGAGACAGCCCCATGGTTGCCACAGAGGCCATGAAGTCCTGAGCTGGCCCATTTGAGGCAGCCTTGGCCTGGATATTGAAATCCCTCAACACTACCATGAAAGAGCTCTCCAGCACCACATCTGAGACTACTTCCATCAGCTTGCTCAAGGAGGTTGTAGAACAAGTGGGTGGATAGTATACTATCATACATCCCCCATTCTATCTCTCTGGCCCATCACCACAAACAATCCCAGAAACCCAGGCACAGTGAAGTCTTCTGGTGAAGGAGATTAAATTTTTATGGACTGCACCAATTCCCCCTGCCTGCCCCTCTGACCTGGAACGGTGCTGCACCAAGTAGCCAGGCAGATACATCTCATCTGCCCATATTTTTATCCTCCTCACCCCACTCAAAGATGCTGCTGGCAATCCAGCAGTGACATGACAGAGTCTCACCTGTGACTCCAGTGAATAGGATACTTTCATATAATCATAGAATCATAGAGTTGGAAGAGACCACAAGGGCCATTGAGTCCAACCCCCTGCCAAGCAGGAAACACCATCAGAGCACTCCTGACATATGGTTGTCAAGCCTCTGCTTAAAGACCTCCAAAGAAGGAGACTCCACCACACTCTTGGCAGCAAATTCCACTGTCAAACAGCTCTTACTGTCAGGAAGTTCTTCCTAATGTTTAGGTGGAATCTTCTTTCTTGTAGTTTGGATCCATTGCTCCTTGTCCGCTTCTCTGGAGCAGCAGAAAACAACCTTTCTCCCTCCTCTATGTGACATCCTTTTATATATTTGAACATGGCTATCATATCACCCCTTAACCTCCTCTTCTCCAGGCTAAACATGCCCAGCTCCCTTAGCCGTTCCTCATAAGGCATCGTTTCCAGGCCTTTGACCATTTTGGTTGCCCTCCTCTGGACACGTTCCAGTTTGTCAGTGTCCTTCTTGAACTGTGGTGTCTTGTACTTTTCCTCATTGCTAACAATCTGCCCCTCAAAAGACTCCTGATTATGGATGAATTGGCCTGATTGAGCACTCACAATAGTATTATTATTATTGCAAACATTTCAGCAGCCGGCAAGTATCATGACCTATAATTAATACATAAAAATAACCCAAACAACAGCAAATTCTTTTTGGTCTTCGGTTTTTTGTTTTGTTTTTCAGACAAAAGAAATTAATCCCTCACCTGGCTATTTTTAGAATGATCACTCATGGACAAGAAAAGTAAGTTTTTCAAAAAACTTAAATGAAAAACAACAACCAGAAATTAAAAGCAATTATTGCAGTCAAGAGTTGGACTCTTTTTCTCCCAGAGAGCTCGAAGAGTGAAAAGAGCCCACAGCAATTGCTTTCTTCAAGAAGAACACCACTGCAAAATGAGATGTGTGCATACAGTTTGTACAAATGGTACCCAATTAACCACTTAAAGGCAGATTAATTGCTCTATACTGCCAAGAAATATGGAGGTGTTGTCAGAGTGCAATAAAATCAATTACAAAAAAATTGTCTTGTGAAATATTCCATCAGCTAAATAAGCTGTTCCAGGCTTCTGGGAATGTGTGTGTTTGTGTGTGTAACCTGTTTGATGTTGCTGAACTCTAACACTGAACTCCATGAAGAATTTTAGAAGATACTTTCCCCACAAAGCAGTGAAAATGAATTGTCCCTTCTCCAACAAACATGGTTTGCACAAGGAAAGATGCCTCTGCATGTAAATCTGAGTTGGACTGGTCAATGGGAACAGATTCTTGGGGATTAGACTTATATTGAGTCACACCATTGGTCCACCTAGCTCAGCAGGAGCCAATGTGTGGCCTTCCAGGTGTTGTCAAACTGGCAGCTCCCATCATACCTGACCATTTTGCTGATGATACTAAATTGTGGCCAAACAGATGCCTTTGACAAGCCCACAAGTGTGATCTGTGCACAACAACACTCTCCCCACTTGATTCCCAGCCACTGACATCAGAAAGCATGCCACCTCTGACAATGGAAGTAGAACATGATGGTGAAAGTGTCATAAACCACTTGCAGCTTCAGGCAATTGTTTGGATGCCAGGACAAGCCTTCTGGTCTAGGGAACCCATTGCTTTCTAGTCCTAAGCATCACTGTGAAGACAAATGATATATAAAATCCTACATAACAAATCCTAGGCATCATTGTGAGCATGTGCAAAATACTTAAAGCTATTTTAGAACTCTACAAACACAGCAAAACCCTTTATCTGTGATACTTTTTAAGACCCCATGAAAATCCATCACCATTTTAGTGCCAATTTCTCCTAATATAAACATTTATTTCGCTAATATAATGCTTTTCTCTCCCCCCCCCCCCGCTAATATAAGCACTTCTATGCATACTTTACCTCAGTACATTCATTTTTGTGCACATTACTTGTCTGGAGAATCTCACTGCAAAACTTGTAGAAGTGCAGGTTTCAAAGGATATCTGTGTGCAGGATCAGCAGTGTGAGGTGAGGAGGTGAAATATACTCAGAGTCGAGAGTGGATTTCATGCTCTTTATTCAGCTCATAGTGGTGAGAAGAAATGAAAGTCCCCTCAAAGTATCTGATTTATATACATTATTTACACAATGGGCTGCACGTGATTATCTAATTCTGGAATTCTCCTGTAGGCCAATCAGGTTGTGGATTCACTTCCATCTGGAGCTGGATTGGGTGGCTCCTGCAGACCAATCATACTGCTGCATTGTTCTAGGACCAATCAGACTGCTGCATTCTGAATCCTACTGTTCTAGGACCAATCAGACTGCTGTATTTTGGATCCTATTGTTCTAGGACCAATCAGACTGCTGCATTTTGGATCCTATTCAACTCAGTACATAACAGGAGGGCTCATGACTCATGCAATTTGTGATGCAGCCACCATCTGCACTATACATTTAAAGCAGCATCATACCTCTTTAAACAGCCATGGCATCCTTGAAAGAATTCTGGGAAGTATAGTTTGTTAAGGGGGCCAAGAGCTGCTAGGAGATTCCTGTTCTCCTCACAGAGTTCCAACACTCAGAGTCCCTTGGGAAGAGGGATTGGTGCTTAAACTATGAAAACTGTAACTCTTTGAGGGGAATAGGGTTTGTGGTAACAAATGTCAGGGCCCTGACCAAACTTCAGTTCCCAGAATTCTTTGGGGGAAGGCGTGAATTCAGTTCCCAGAATTCTTTGGAGGAAGTGGTACGATACTGCTTTCAATGCTTAGTGCAGATGGTACCTCAATTTTATTTTGAGGCCAGTGAGCTTCACACACTACAGTTCATAGCTCCATTTGGCCTGGTTGATCTCAAGCTGTACAGGGCTAGTTTATTTGCATTTTTAATCCATTTTTTTTTTTAAAAAGCTAGCATTTTGTTTGGGAATTATGTAATGCCAAATGGCTTGTTGCTCTTTTTTGTTAGCGCATATTTTCCATTTAATAATTTAAAACACAATATCCAGCCCTTTGTCATAATACCAGGGCAGCATTTATGCAAACCTCCAGCTGGATGCATATTTATTGGCACCTTTTAATATAGAGAGTTTACATTCCAGCTCTGTTTTATGCTTGCTCTCTCTTCCTCTCTGGTACATTGATGGTCGTGGGGCCATTATTGTTTCAAGTTATAAAATATGGATATCACTACCATGAATATTAGATCTCAATATATGGCCTTCTGAGGCAATTTGAACTGTATAAAACAATGTTTAAACACAGCTAACAGTGAAGAACTTTAAAACGTGCACAGTAAGAACAAAAGGGCCGAGCAAATCATGCAACAATGGACAAAAACAGGCAGTAGCAATAATGGAAAATGCTGAAACCATGGGGATGTCTCAATAGTATAGAGAACCGGGTATACTGTCATGGGACAGGAATCAGCTTCACCTGCAGAACAGCAGCCTGAAGAGAGAGGGAGTGACTCCACCTGCAGCTGATCAGCCTTCAAGGACACAGAGGAGAAGGCACTGATGAGAACCAGCTGGCTTCAGCCTTCTTAAGCAGAGCCAAATGCTGGAAACACTGCTAGTAGTTCCTGGCTCTACCTTGCAGCTTCCTGCTCATCTTGACCCTGGACCCCATAATTATTGGATTCCTTGACCCTTGGACCATGTGGACTGCTGTTTGCCCAACCCTTGGACTGGACCTAACTTTGTATGCTGATGCTGCCTCCAGGCAAGTACACCTCAGAGACTCTTCTGGTTGGCTGGTCTCCTACTCCACTGAGCTCACTGAATGAATGCACAGAGGCAATTATAGGCCCATCCCCCCAATGAATGTCCATTTGATGTTCACTTAAAAGAGTTGTTTGCATGTATGAATAGAAAGCTCCCACATGCAAGAAACAACCCCTGACTCCAATTAGCCCTGACTGAAGGTTTCCCAACAGGGGAAGAGGTCTTCCCTGAAGCTGCCTGCACAATAACCCATTTAGCCTGGGCCAGTGGGAAGGGTTGGGCCATGGGAACAATACATTATTTCCAACTTGGTCTGGATGTACGCACAATAGGCTAGGAACTTCTCAGTTGCATGTACAGTACAACTCATCACACAATAGGGCTGTTTACATATTACACTCAACAGATGTACAATCTGCATACCTGTGTACATAAGAAGTTGAGCTGTACACACGTACAGTTGTTTACATGCAGATATTTTTACTACACAGCAACAGACCTGCTCCAAGCAGCTGTAAAATGTTAAAAGAAAGAAAGATGCCGCCTCAGACTTCCTTGTAGTAAACAAATTTTTATTTGTTTGTAAAGCTATATGGGTTTTTATAAAGGATTTTTGAGAATTTTCCCTAAAAAGATCCACCCACAAATGGGACACGATGGAGCCTGGCACAGGATGGAAATATGGCAAAACATGTTCTCCTAGTTGTATGTAGTTACTTAGGCCAATACAAAATGGTGGGGTGAGGCAGGCCATGTTCGTGGCATGGATGGGCTTGGATGCTTTCAGGATCCACTTCAGACTCGACTCTGACCTAAAAAGATCTGGACTCCACTGTGAAATGGACCCAAAATCTGGAGTTTATCACCACTTGTAGCTACTGCATAGTTTTCTGCTTGGCATCCTGGTTAGTTTTCTAATGAACTTTGACAGGTATCTATAACTCCCAGCTTCATAGCCCACTTCATGGCTAGTCTTTTGGAATTTGATACCCTTTCAGTTATTGCTCTGAATCGGCTTGTGTTTGTTGGGTTGCTTTGATTTGAACAAGATCCCTGGTGTCACCTCACAACATGACTTTTTGTTTGCAGAAGAGGTTTACAGACTATTCTGTGTCTTGTCTCTTCAGGTTTATCCTATGATATAGATTTCCCCAATGTCTCACATTGTGTGTCATATGTAAGAAGATAAAAGGTTTTTGTGTTTCTTCCCCCCAAAATAAAGATGCTTTAAGTACTCACAGAGGATTGCATGCATCCACCTGAATCTAAAGATCTAGGTAGTGGTTCTATCCATCAATGGCTTTTGTTTTTTTAAAAAAGAGATCCCTGCAAACAGTTGGTTGATTGATGAAACTTCGTGTCTGTGGAAACTCTGGCAGAAAGTGCACTCTGTTCCTAAGTGGCTTAGAGCTGCCACTGCTGGGTCTTGTTCTGATAGCTCCAAGGCTGCGATTCGTATTCAGTAAAGGCTAGACAACATCTGCCAAGACTGGACCATATCAGTGTCTGCAGTAGAGCGGGGGGGGGGGGACCTTTTACAGCTCAAGCTTCTGAAGGCTACATGCTACTGGTGGGCAAGGCCAGAGGCAAAAGTCGACTGAGCAAAAGGTGTAGCCTACATTCTGTTGTGGGTTTGTGTACTGACCTGCATGCACACATCTTTCCATTTAAGCAAGAGGTTCTCTCAAAGTTCAAGAATGTGCAGAAGCACTTGAAGATGTGGAATGGAGCCACTGAGAAGTGCAGACCTTTCAAGTGTCCCTACTTTCTAGGGACAGTCCCGGATTTACAGAAGCCATCCTGGTTTCTGATTTGATCCCAGAATGTCCCAACTTTGCCTTAGGATGTCCCTATTGTCATCAGAGAAATCTAGGAGAGTATGGTAGGACATCCCTATTTTCATGGGAGAAATGCGACCCCTGTGCCAAGGAGAAAAGTAACTATACAACCTTTAGAAGACTTCTCATGGCTGCCCAGTACAGGGAAGTTTTAAAATGTTTAATCATGTTTTTTGTATAGGCTGGAAGTTGCCCAGAGTGGCTGGGGCTACCCAGTCAGATGGATGTGGTATAAATGTTGTTGTTGCAGTTTTCATCTGCAGGGTATGGAAGTGTATGGAAATTGGGGTATGTGGCCTGGGCTGGGTTACAGAGGACTGGAGGGCTATGTTTTTATCCCCAGACCAAAGGTTTCCCACTCTTGTGGTAGAAGAAACTCATGATTAACACTGCATGGTATGATGGCATTTAAACTGATGACATGAATTGGTGGGGTTAAGGCTGGTTTCCACTAGGGCTTGTCCCCTTGAGGAATGCTCTATGATTTCCTCCCTAAGCCCATCCATGAATTTTCAGGTTTCATTCAAAAGAAAAAACTGCAAAGTGGTACCTCGGGTTACAGACGCTTCGGGTTACAGACCCCACTAACCCAGAATTAGTACCTCGGGTTAAGAACTTTGCTTCAGGATGAGAACAGAAATCGTGTGGCGGCGGCAGCAGGAGGCCCCATTAGCTAAAGTGGTATCTCAGGTTAAGAACAGTTTCAGGTTAAGAACGGACCTCCAAAATGAATTAAGTTCTTAACCCGAGGTACCACTGTATAGCTAAAATAAGATATAAGGAAAAGCACAGTGTTGTAGGCAGTTGCTCACTAAGCAACACAATCAAACAACAAACATATTAGCTTCCTTATATTTATGTTTTGGCTGCTCTGCAGTGATTCACTGCTGCCAAAGTTCCCCTTCACCATAATGTTTCTGCCTACAGTGCTAGGCAGAGATAATCTGGTTTAGGATATTGAAGGGGATGCCAAAACAATGAGGACTGTCACAACTTTAAGACATGAAAATGCTTTTAAGAGCTATTAAATACAGAATTATTTGGGCCTATATACCTGATTCTGTGCAAATAGTACCTGTAATCAATACAGGTTAGTTGAGGAAGAGAGACCAAATTCTGGGCACAGCAGCTGCTATAGATGCTTTCCTCCAAACATGATTTCTCTCTTTTATAGGCTGATCCTGCTTAATAGCACTGGAAGTAGAAGACAGCATCGAACTTTGCAATTATTTGTTTCATATAATTATATTCCTGGGAGCCATGCCTATTTTTTTCAGATATTTGCCACTAAATGCCAAATGAGCCATGTGCTTAATTTCCATAGGAGGCAACTATGTATCTTGTTTTTCCTCAACCAACTATAGGGAAATGTAGAGTCAGATTTTCATTGTGAAGAGAGCATGCAGGAAGGAATTACTTTGCTCCTCGACTAAGATCAAGCTGGGGAGCCCGACAAACACGGCTGGATGACTTGTGGGTAGATGTCTCCAATGGAGTTATTCATTCATTTATAACAGTATTCCTACACCACCATATCATAAAATATCAATATTATGTACAGCACTGTTTCCCTAAGTGTGGTACTCAAATACCCAGGGATACATGAAATGGTTTCAAAGGGTACATGGCAAAAAAATGTAAAACATGATCACAGTTGTTTTAACTGCAGAAAATTATTCAAAGATAAAATAGTGTCATTAAAACTACCTCCAAATTATCTTTGCCGAAGAAGGGGTACCCCAGTAAGACTAAACTTTCTAAAGGATTACACGGTCATTGTATGTTTGGGAAACACTGGTGAAGAGCAGTAAAAAACAAAACACCATTAAAAACCATACAAATAATCTTGAAAGTGGCTGGCTAATAAATTTAAACAGCTCCAAAGGCCTGTTGGCATAAAAGGGACTTCCAGACATGCCTGAAAATCAAAAGCGAGAATCCCTGCAGATTCGTGTTCTTATGCACCTGCATTATTTTATACTTTGTGGATGTCCCATGATCATATTATAAAGCAGTTATGTTCTGTGTTATAAATCAAGCACTGTTAGGGGTTGTTTCTTCTTGTTTTTCCAATCTATTTTTCATCAATAAAAATTCAGTATGGTGCAAAAAACTTTTTATTCTGAAAGAAGAAGAAATTTGGGTTAGAGTCTGTCAGAAACCTCAAGCTTGTTGCTGACATTGCTTCACAACAATGGGGAGGTGTTGTGCAGTGGGGTGGGCCTTTGAACGAAGGAGCAATTCCTTACCAGACTTGCTTTTCATATAAATCCTGGTCCCCAGGATGTCAAGGAAAGGTCTGGGGGGGGAGGTGGGAGCTCAAGTTCCTTACAGGAAATTTTGCACCAAAATTAACGTCAAAGTTGTCCCCAGACTCAGAGGTATAGGAGACGAAGCCAGTGACAACATTTGACAACAGACATTTTCTTTTGGCATGGCTACTGATGGCTCCTTGTTTGCTCTTTGTCACCTTTGATTCCCTCACCCCACCCCCAACTGCAACATTTTAAATATATATTTTGAAAGCTGAAGATGAACTTTTCATTTATCATCCCACACTGAAAGTGGGTGTGAGAGAAAGGGGGCTGGGTGGAAGAAATAATCTTTTTACAATCCAAATACATCACTGTTATGCCAAATTTTCATTGCAGGAGTTCATGCAGTGGTCAGTCCTTATCTGCAGAGCACAAAGATTAGAGCAGGTTTCTAAAGGTCTTCAGATTTTTAAATGTGAGCTTTTCTCTTCAGCGTTCATCCATTTGCTAACACACACACCCCTGATGTCATCTCAGTTTCTCTTAACAGGGGAATATGAGCTTATCGCATTTGCAAATGTACAGATGAGCCAAAATTGGGAAGAAGAGCAATGACTAGGTTTGACTGGATGCAAACTCAAAGAGAAGTAGGAAACGGTGAGGAACTGCTGGGGGAAAAGAGAAGAAAGACTATCTTTATTCCTTGCTCCCCCGAGTTTTTCTCTTTAGGACGGCTTACACATTCAACTCAAAGGCTTGTTCACGTGTTACAATGAATAAAAGAACAGATGGTTTTTATGCATGTACAAGTTTTTCTGTGAAAGTGTACACTTGTTGAGTTGCGCAGCACAACTATTGTGTACAGTGACTGTACGCTCATTGACTGTAACATGTGAACCTGTTTAAATATTTGGAGGTTGTAACCAGTGTTAGTTCTACTCAAAGTAGGCTCATTGAAAGTAATAAACATGATGATCTTAGGTTCATTTATTTCAATAGGTCAACTCTGGAGACAAGTCTTTGCCTGGACTTTGTTCCCATATACCAATTCTCTACAGAGCCACTGAATAACCAACATTTTCAGTATGCCAGGTTAGTCATGTAGCTTGGCCCTCAGAGAAAGTTCGTGAGAGAACAGTGATTTGTGAGCTGGTTCTTGAGAGTAGGTGGAATCTGTTAAGCAAAGTTTCTAATGCTGATCCTGCCACAGTAAATAACTTCATTTTCAAAAAGATTAAATCCATCTGCAAGCATAATTTTTTTAAAGGTTATCTCTGAGTTCAGTAGGTATAGTGTACTCTTATCAAACCCAAAGAGCTTGCCATGGGTTTGATAACCCTTAAGCCTCCCCTGTTTTCACATTTCTGCAAGGAGGCAGGAGAGAGAACCAAATTGGAAATAATTGCCTCCTGCAGTAACAGGTTTATCACCATGAAAATATGATTCGTTCCCCTGGAATGTATGCTACTCTCAGATCATCTTGTGCTTCCCCTTAAACTTAGAAATTACATCAGATAGAAGATCCCAGAGAACTCCTTGCTGAGCCCCCATTTGGTGCCATAAAAGAGATAATTATTGTGAAGGCAGGAATTGCAGGCTGCTAAGGAACGAACACAATAGCGGTTGTGGCCTCCATCACAAAAAGATATATACAGCTCTGTTATGCGTTCTGCTTTCATTTCTTCATTAGATTTTTTTCACACCAAGATGTTGCTTTTTTTGTTTTTGATGTTAGTTATTTAATGGCAAGCACCTGCAAATCTACTTGCCAGTTTGCCTGGAAAGAGCTCCTCATTAGATGCAGAGCATCTAGCAGTACACAACCCCCACCCCCCAGAAGCTAAGAAAATAAGAAGTGTCCTTTTGGATCAAGCTGTAGGCCCATCATATCTATCATTGTGTTCTCTTAGTGGCCAACCAGTGGCCTTTGGGAAGCTCACAAGTAGGACATAAGCACAATAGCACCAAGCCTACTGGTAAAGCCCAACACTTGGTACCCAGAGATATACTACCTGCAGTGCTGAAATTGGTACACAGCCATCATGGTTAATAGTAATTGACAACTTTATTCCTCTGGCATATTTCATAAAGCCTCTCATAGTCACCCAAGTTGTTGGCCTTCACTAAATCTTGCAGCAACGAATGCCATAGTTTAATTATTCACTGTCGGAAGAAGTTCCTTTTGTGTGTTCTGAGTCTTCCAGCATTTGGCTTCATTGAATGACTCTAATTATGTAAAAGGGAGAAATTTTTTATTTTCTGATGCTATTTAGAGGAACAGCAGGCATCTCTTCCAAGTAGTTAGTGGAAGATGACCTTCTCTTTCCAAGCTCACTGGCTACGTTGAAGGAGAGACAATAACTCTTTTCAGGACTCGCAAAAAGGGCACTGAAGCATTTTACAGAGGGCAGTGTGGATGGCCACACTAGGTCTGCCTCTCCATTGCTATATTTTCCTCACGTCATGGAAAGTGACTATATGAAGTGGGGAGCGTTTTGAATCCATGAATGCTTCCCAAATAATTTAGACTCCTGCTTTTCCAGGTTTCCAAAATGCACTGGGGAGCCTCCACAAAAAATGTAAGTAATGATGGAATTTCCACACTGATTGATCAGTCATAAGGTATTCCATTAACAATTATTTAATTGTATTGAAGCACTAAATGAAACTCAGTTTTTTAAGTGCAGGTGATACAGACCTCTATCACACAATACTGGATGTGACATTATCTCACAGTGCCTTTTCCTCTTCTCTGCTATTGACAACCAATCTTGTGGCATGAGGAAACTCGCATTGGCATCACATTGTGTAATACAAGATAGGACATTACCAGAAAAAGGTAAAAAGTAGAGTGTTGACAGCCTAATACCATAGTTTCACTCTCAGTTCCATGCAAAAGGTGTCACAATACAATATGGTGCTCTGGATATTGGCTGGCTATCCTTTGTCAAGCTGTTTTGGTTGCAAATGGTTAGCAATCATCACCTGTCATTTGCTCAATGGGCAGTTCAAGCTTTAACTAAGTGGACGAAGCAGTGCTTGAATACAGGTGTTATGATATGTGAGATGTGAATTGTATGTGATTTTCCAGTGTTAATTGCTCTACCAAGGCTGAACCTCTGATCCCTCCTGCAGTCTGCAGTGCACACCATGAAATTAACTGAAGAATCTTAATGTGCCTTTATGGCTGCAAAGCCTATCTTCCCTGTTTTAGAAGAAGACTCTCACAAGTAGTGAGAGGAGGGTCACAAAACCTTTGGGGAGTTTTGTAGTTGGAATTTATTTGGAAGAGAGATCTGTGACCTGTACAAAACTGAAATATTATTCAAGTACCATTGCTCTTTGCGGCCCTGATGCAAGATTGGCAACTGTACTTACCTGCTGTAGGAGTGATTGCTTGCTTATCTGTTCTTCGTCTATACTGTATTTCTAAATAAAAGAGGAAAACATGAAGCTTCCACAAATCTTCATTGCTCTTTCATACAAACTCTGTAGGAATTTCCTAAGCCAGGCTAGAACTTTTCACAGCTCAGAAAAGTAGAGAGTATGTTACAATAGCTAAAACATGTGGTTAGAACCAATGAGTGGGTTGAACAGTCTCGGCATCTGCACAACCATACAAACAGGATTGGGTAACTGTTCCATTGATCCCCTAAACGTGATCTCCCCATGACTTGGAGGAAATTAGTTCACATTTATTTATATCACTCATCCCTGGAGAATTGAGGATTAATACTAATTAAATTATCAGTGAATTTCTTGAAATTACTAAATAAATCAGTGTTAGCAAATAACAATAAAAAGAACTAATGATTTAGCAAATGTGCCACAGGCTGCTTTAGCAGACCTTTCTCTGGGCTGCTTACACACTTATTTAAATATTTAAAGCATACATTCCCCTCAAAAAACCCTTTGAACTTTAGTTTACTAAGGGGAGGGATTGCAGTTCTGTGAGGGGTAAACTACAGTTCTCAGGGTTTGAGTGTTTGTGTGCTTTATTCCTGGTAACAGAATATTATAATCCAGATCTGCTGGATCTGGATAACTGTGGCCAGTATGGTGCAGAGCCCATGTGAAACAGGATATATTGTTGAGCTTGAACTGCAGGGACTGGGATTCAAATTCTGCTGGGCCATGACGCTCTTTGAATGACCTATAGCAAATGATAACTCTTAGTCAAAATCAGTTTACATGGCTGCTGTGATGTGCAGAACGGATTATCCCATGGCCTCCTTGGAAAAAAGGAGGGATACAGAACGTGTGTGATAAAGAAATGCACATGCAAAACTCCTATTTTGTGGCATTGTGAGTGGTGCAGTAGCAATTCAAGTGAAAGAAAGCGGAATGGTACACTGGGTATCACTGAATTGCATTTTGGCTTAGCTATGTATACCTCTTTCCTTCCCTGTCCAATGAAAGTAAGTGAACATATGAAATTTATATATATATATATATATATATATATATATATATATATATATTCCCATTCGTATATTGGTTTTACTACTAATATAACACGTTATATTAAGCATCTTTCTAGGACTGGATCAGGCTCCTCCATAACTTTTATAAATGGAAGCCTGGCATCATAATCCTAACTCATTGAGTTGTGTAGGACTTACTCTAAAGTGGCATTCATTTGCCATCTGTGTGAACCTTGGTCCATCTAGATCAGAACTGTCTACACTGCTTGGCAGTGGAGATGCTGGGGATTGAGTCCAGGCCCTTTTGCATGCAAAACAGTTGCTCTGCCACTGAGCTATGGTCCTTCCCCAAGCTAAAAAGCACCATTCAACAGTAGATGCTATTTGCACAGGAGCATAAGATGCTGCTTCATACCAAAGTCAGGCCCTTTGTCCATCTAGCTCCTCCTTGTCAACATTGATTGACAGTGGCTCTTGATGGTTTCAGATATGGTAAACTATCTGGAGGTGCTGAGGAATGCTCCAGGGACCTTATGCATGCAAAGCAGATCTTCTATCACTAAGTTATGGCCCTAATCCCCCTTCGGAGATCTCTCTTCCTCCTCCTCCCCCCCCTTTTGGGAGATGTCAAAAAGCCACATATTTTCAGTAGCTGATTCACTCCCACCTAAGAATTTATTTCCTGGAGATTAGTCTTCTATGACAGAGCGAATATGTTCCTTCTATGCTTAACTACTCCTTCTAATCCCTTCCAGCAGTCTTTTCATCCTGAGTGGCCTGCTGACCCTAAATGTTTGAATCAGCACATCTGCCTGTAAAACCCGTCATAATTCATGCTTTGTGACAGTACATTGGCACAGCAGTCTGGCCATTGCCTCTTAAGCACCATGTTGCTGGTGCAGCAGGTCACAGGATTAGGCCATTAGGGTATAAATATTTTTCATGACAAAGTGACAGCACAGTTAATGGAGTTTTTGATATATTTGTGGGGGGAACCCAACAACTTGCTAAACGTTTGCGGTGTCTGTAAAGCAAGAAACCTGCTTTGAGTAGGATTGAACCCAGACTATTCCTAAAGGTTTGTTTTTGGATATAGGAAATATTAGCTTATGTGTGTGTATCACATTCATTCCCCCAAAACTGATAATTTTCAAGGGTTCATGCAGTTTCTAAGCAAGTACACCCAGCATAAAGTTGAATGATGGAATTGGCTACCACACAATGTTGTGATGGCCACCAATTTGGCCTTAAAATGAGATTAAATGACGAATAATGGCTATTAGTCACAATGGCTATAAACTACTTTCAGGAACATATGCAGTTGCATGTTCAGACCCAGAGACCTCCCTACTAAATAAAGACAGATTTGACTCAAATTTTAGTTTTGGTTTTTGGCAGAATTTAGGCCACAACTTTACTGATTATAGAAAAGTGAGTGGTTGCATAGGCTCTGGTTTTACTAGCTCCCTACACCCTTGCAGGTAGCGCTCTATCATAGGTCAGCCAAGAGTGAACACCTGAGGAAGGTGAAAAGCCTGGGAGCAGACTCTATTCACTCCCCAGATGCTCCCCTGGACTCAGGCATGGGCACAACCCCTTTTCGGGGGTTGGCCAAACCAAGTTGAGTCCCTGGATTCCTTTAACGGAATACCCTTCACATAGTGATGGCGAGACCGTTCTCTCATGCCTATCACATGAACCAGTGCCTATCCGCAACCTTACAAGTTGTGACGAATTGCTACGTGGCAGGCGAAACCCAAATGGCAACAGCCAATCAGCCAAGTGGGAAAATTCCTGCTGTGCCCCTGTCCCAACGACAGACGACACATGACGGCATAGCAAGGTCAATCACAAAAGGCCCAAAATATAGGGAGATGTGGGCGGGTGTTCCAATGCACAAGCCGAAAGAGGAAGCTCTGGGTCATGTGCATGGGTTTATATAGGTCCCTCGATCCATTTAGACTGCAACCCCATTGGCCAGATTGAAACCCAGCATTGAGGGACCTACCAATCGGGTGTTGTGGCTATCCAATGGACCCACCCACAACCAAGAGGTCAGTCTCCAGATCTCACCGCAACACATTCCCTCTTTTAGGGAGGACACGATTTATGCGCCAGATGCTAGGGAAAAACTGCCAGAGAAGTCCACTGCACTCGTGTCTTGCTAGTGTGCTCCCTCCCCATAAACATCTGGCTGACTGCCGTAGGAACAGAATTCTAGATTGGTGGGCCTTGGTCTGATCTGGCAGGTTCCTTCTTGTGGTCTAAAGGAACATGCCCAACAGCCAAAGTGCTTTCCAACCCAGCTTTTTCACTTTCCAAACTGCTGCTTCACTGGCACATAATGAACCTATGCTCCCACAAGAGGTGGTGATGGCTACCAACTTGGATGACTTTAAATGTCTAATTCATGCAGGATAAGACTGTTAAGGAGTGCAGTTCTTAATGGGTTAATTGCATTAAGGAGCAAAGAGCTGACTCATTCTCATTCTTGAGATGCACTTGACTGAATCTGCTGACTTCCTTATCGGTGTTACTGGACAGATTAGGCATATAACTTTGTGTATAAAGGGGCTCATCTTACATTGTGGGCTGTGCATCTTTGGAAGTGGGCCATTGGTCACTGGCAGGAAGGACTGAATCATTGCAGAACTGTGAAGTTAGCCGAATGCTTTGCACATATAAGAAAAAACTTGGAGAATTGCCAGACTTCAGGACTCTGAGACCTCTAAGCTTTTGCAGACCGTTAATGCGCCTCTCTGGTCTGTAGCTTCCTGGGGTTCAGCACAACAGTTCTCAAGCTGCTTTATTCAATGGGAAGTTCATTGCTCTAGCCTAGTTATGAAGGAGGGCTGCACATGCCTCCGTTCAGTGAGGATTATCAGTCCTAAGTCAGTGTCAATGCTTTTCCCAGTAAGTATGGATAGCGATCGGTAGCTAGGAAGTGACAGCTCAGTTCTAGCCATGCATACTTGGAAGTAAAGGAATTTAACAAGGCTTACTCCCAGTTAAGTATGGCTAGGGTTGCAGCCTTGGTCCCATTGAATGGATTGTGCCCACGTAAACATTACAAGGTTAACTGTTGGCCATCATGTACCCCTTATTTTGTGGGGAAGGGGGGCAGAGTGGCTGTGAAGTGTTAAGAGAGTCTAAGCTCAGGGCAGCCCCTCCCAACAGCCACTTTTGCCTGCTTTTCTTCCTGTGTCTTCAGCCCCCTGGTTCCACAAACTAAGCATCTGAGAGACTGTGGGCTCTGGGTTGCCTTTCTTAGCCCAAATTCAGCCAGTGGACTCATTGCCTGAACACTGTTGGGTGACCCAATGCTAGGACACACCAGCCCTCATCAGACCTTCACATCCACATGGAACAGTTAATCCATAGAATTAAAGCATTCACAACTAAATTGATGGGGATTCATTTCATTTTAGCAGTATTTTTAGACAAATAATGTGGATGTTGTGGTAAAGTGATTTTTGGGTGGGGGGGCACATGGATACAGTTCCTTGCCTAGGGTGCAAGGCAGCCTAGGAATGCATCTGCTCCATACCAACCTAGAGAATATGTTCCCATGCTTCCCAGACAGATTTGCATGGCATTGACCCTTCTGTATTGTAAACACAGTGGTAGTTCCAACGCTTATCTTCTTCATAAGCTTTACAGGAGGACCATTGTGTGCCTTGTTCTTGGCAACCAGATTTTGAAGTCCCCTTTCTGTTCACGTTCATTGAATTCCATGCAAAAGAAAAAAGCACCAGTGCAAGAATCTCTTAGTAAAACATTAATCTTGGATCACAGGTTTATTGTATGGATTTTGCAACACAGCCCATTTTACAAACATTGTCTGGGAAACATTTACAAGAATAAATAAGATGGACTTGCAGTTGTAAAAAAAGATTACACCACTGTAATGTACAGTCAAAAAATATATCTGATATTCATTGACTTGACATTTTTTTTTACCTTCCCTTCTTGTAAACTAGAAAGAAAAGAACTCTGAACGCACAGTGCTGATTTTTTTGTATTTATATATTTTTTCTTTCCCCCCCTTTTTAAATACGTGCTTTATCTATCAAACATCCAAACTGTACAAGTGAGCTTAATTGGTAACCTTAAGCATCCAGGGGATACTGCAAATGAAAATAAATTTAGCTCTCATGCAACAACCCCTCCCAGCTAGCAAAGAGTTGGATCAAAGGAGCTAATACAGGGAACTTCTAGCTAGCTTGGGATATTGATGGCACAGTTATAACCCCCTTAGCCTTGCAGGGAGAACATAACAAGAATGCTGTTGGCACAATACCTTTGTTGGATGCCAGTACCTCTTGGTTTCAACAGGGAGTGGGCGGGGGTGGGGGGTGGGAACAGAAAAGAGGAAAAAGAAAGGGGTAGATCAGTGCTTAACCCAGCCCTTCCTAAATGATCTGTGTAGGCCAGATGAAGTGAATTTGCAATTGCAATTTTTTTTTTAAAAAAAATGTGTGAATAGGACCTGATTCTCAAAGCTATTTTTAATCTGGGGAAAAGCCACCAAAATGTGACACACACCCCCAGTCACAGTAGGGGTATGTGTGTTTGTATGTTTTTCAGGATAGGGTAAGTTGCATTCTAAACAAAACTTACAGGACTGCTTTTTGATGCCAATTGTAAAAGTAACCTTTGTGTGACATTTCTCAGACACAAAGGGTTCTGTGAATTGGGTCTTAAATGATTTAAAAAGAAGGGAATGGCAGAGAGAGATGATAACAGGGCAAGAATGTCACAAATATGAACAATTAATTTCAGCCATAACTGTTTGGACTTTTTACCAAAAGCTTGCTGGCAAACAGCAAATGATGAGACATGTTAACTCTTCCTTTTGCAGCTGCAACCTAACATTGCTTCTGGAAAGCTACACACACAAAGCAGGCAGTGGGATTCTTAGACACCAAACCTCCATAGTTTCACCCACAACCTCAAGCTGTTATCAATGTTTTACATGCACCTTCTTAGTGCAGCACCACATGATCAGTTAAAGCTAACGCCATTGGGATGAATAACTGCAATGAATGAAACCAGCATGAGGTCCAAATTAGTGACAAAAACTGTTCTTTGGGTTTGAAAAGGAGAAGTGTGTTCAGGCCTCATTTGTCAAACATTCGCTCTGCCCCAAAACCTATAAACACCACCTTTTTTTGTCATACATTTTTTCTCATTACCAAGCTTGAGTTGTTTTGGTGTCCGAGACATGGGCAAGAATTTATGGCAGAGACACCTTTGTTGAAAAAGTACAAGAAAAATGATCTCTTTTTCGTAAAGGGCAATCTGGTTTCTAGTGGCGCAGAGAGATTTCAGAGATTTACTGTTA